TGCTCAATTAGAAGTAGCACATGTTGCGAGGCTGCTCGGTTTGTGGCTTATGTTGCCTTGGTTGGCTCGGCTTATGGCATTGAAGGTGAGGGAGTCCCTTTTATAGAATAAGGGATCGTTCCTCAATACATGAATGATGGGCTAGAGTTGATGCTCGCGGCGAGGCGGTTGCTCAGCTGGCGGCAATGCTCTCTAATGATGGTGAGGGAGTCCATTTTATAAAATAAGGGTTTGCTCCTCAATACATAAGTGATGGGCTAAGAGTTGATGTTCGCAGCGAGGCGGTTGCTCAGCAGGCGGCGATGCTCTCTAATGATGGTGAGGGAGTCTCTTTTATAAAATAAGGGTTTGCTCCTCAGTACATGTAAAATAGGTGCTCTCTAATGAAAGTGAGGGAGTCCATTTTATAGAATAAGGGCTCGCTCCTCAGTACATAAATAATGGGCTAAGTCCCCCAAGTATTTTTCATGAGGCCCAGTTGAGACCCAATATATGGTACATAATGTAGTCCCCTAAGTCTTCAGTTAATAGAGGTTGTTGGTTAGAGACTTCAAATTCAATCCATATATGGGCCGAAGTGGCGGTTGTTTGGAGGCAGTCTTTGTAAACCATGCACTGAAGCTTTGTAGATGAAGCTTTGAAAGTGAAGCTTTAAAGCTAGAGCTTTTGTAAATGAAGCTTTGAAGTTGGAGCTTTCGAAGCTGGAGCTCTGTAAATGAAGCTTTCAAAGCTGATTGACATGAGTGATGCTCATGACTGTTTATGTTGATTGACATGAGTGATGTTCATGAATGTTGACATGAGTGATGCTCATGAATATTTATCTATGATTGACATGGGTGATGCTCATGAATGTTTATGTATGATTGACATGAGTGATACTTATGTATAATTTTGGAGTACTAGACGTACTTTTGATCACCTAGTGGGTGATAATAGCGGCAGGGTGCCGAATAATTTTGGAGTACTGGGCGTTCTTTTGATCACCTGGTTGGTGATAATAGCGGCAGGGTGCCGAATAATTTTGGAGTACTGGGCGTACTTTTGATCACCTGGTTGGTGATAATAGAGGGCCTGGCTCTTTTGGGCATATGGGCCTTCGCCCTGGACATAACATTCCAGCCCATTATTTTAGGCTTGCCTCTTTTTTTTTTTTTTTAAATTATGATTACCCTCTAATTGGGTTATACAGATGTCTCCGAAAGATAAGAAAAGTAAATCACATCATTCAAAAAAGCTGCTGCAGAACGTGGGTATGGTAGATGGTTGGATAGTGGGATAACATCTGCATAATTGAAGGGAATTTGAGCTTTTGCTCTTGCTTTTACTTTCTCTTTTCCATCGCACCTCTCTCTTCTCTCCACCTCCAGACATACTCACCTATAGACTTGCTTTTGCTTTTTCTTTTCACTTTTGTGGGAGTGGTTGAGCTGTCTGATGGCCTTTCTTTTTCTTTTGTTGGATAAGTGCGACAAACTGGAGAATAAAAGCATGGTTGAGAATGGGCAGGAGGGGGATGTTGGAGTCAGGTGAGGTAGATTACCACTAGTACAGACTTTCTCCTTTCTCTTTTTTCTATTCTTCTCCTCCTCCTTTTTCTAACATCAAGATTGATTCCAACCTTTCAATTCTTCTCCGATGTATTGTTGTCGGAGACAACACCTTTCCAAGCAATCTCTCATCGCCCTCACAGCAACACCCGATCAAATTCGCCAATCGCTCATTCTTCAGCTGCCCTATATCTCTAGCTTCCTCCAGAAATTGGCGCGAATCAAGCCAAGCTGATCGATTGAAACGCTTAACGACGATCCACCAGCTGTCTTCGAGCTTCCTGTCAACGAGAATCCTGACGTGGCAACTTTCAGTTGGTCTAGGCTGAACTCGCTGAACAGAGGCAGCATATCCAGGTTTCCAAGAGATGGAAAATCCGAGTAAGGTTCCAAGGAAACAGTTACCAACCCAGCAAATTACGCAAATCAGAGCACCCAAGAAGCCAACTTTTGAGTCCAAACAGATGTAAAACACCGAATAGATTATAGTCAACAGCAGGCCTATGTTGAAAGGCAGAACAACGTCGTTCCCAAACACCGAAACCCCAAAACTGAGCAGCGAGGGCGTGAAGTAGAGGATGAGCAGAGCAGTGAAGATGATAGGCCAGACGAAGAGCATATGAATCACTATGTTGACCAGGTTGTTGTGGTAAGCTCAATAGAAAGCAAAGTGCTTTTCGAGATCAAACAGTCTGGTCTTCCCCATTTGAGAATTTTCAGAGAAAATTAGAATCCTCTGTTCTGATTTTTCTCGAGAAATTTTTTATGGGTGAAGGGTGATGGCAATTTCTTTGGCTCATTCAGAAGAAAAGTAAGATGCTTTTTTAGCTCAACCCACTAACAACTGAAAGCTCACCGCCAATTTAATAAATTCTTTTCTGGTTCTTCTGAACGATGTTTGAATGTGAATGACTGGTCGGTAGGACTAAGAACAGCAACTTTGTCTATCCGTCATGAAGGTGCTTGATCATGAGGACCTGATCAGTGGGACTACGAACAGCAGCTTTGTCGATCCGGCATGCCCTGATCTTAATTATGCCGTAAACGTTGGTCATCAGCACCACAAACACCATCGCCGCTACCACGACGGGGTCGCGGCCGTGCTTGATCTGATCCAGCCCTAAAATCACCAACTTCCTGAAGAGGGTCTTGAACAGAAACGCCAGTATCATAACCATTTCTGAAAAAATCACTACGAAAGCAGCTGAATCATCTTTCTGGTGTTTTTGTTTTGGTGGGTTGTGGGGAAATGCGTGAGTTTAGAGGCAGAGAGAGAGAGAGAGCTCTATGTCTGTTTGAGATTTGGATTTTTCTGCTTCAGGGTTTTTTTTTTTTAGGAAAGCTTTGAGTTCTTGGGTTTTTGCAGATTCACGGTGGAGGTGAAAAAAAATGAAAGAACTGACATAGCTTTTCGTGTCGATTCCCACAGACGGCGCCAAATGTTGATGCACAAAACCGGAGAGGTCTTAGAACAATGTAAATCCGACCGTGAATCTACAAGAAAGTAAAGAACCCAAAGATGTATCGTGGTTCACCTCAATGTTTGGGCTACGTCCACACTGATATTGTATTTCTCTGTTTGTGAGAGGATTGTGAGGGAAAGAGCCTCTGTATGTGAGGATGACAGCTTTGTAATGTGAGAGTGAGGCTTGAGGTTTGTGAGGGTGAGGAGGCCCTTTTATAGAATAAGGGCTCCTCACTTATTACATATTTGCCCCTTCATTTATTACATAATTACATTTGAGTCCCTCGAGTATTTATACGAGGTCTAAATACGGAAGCCCTAAGTATGGTACAAACAGATACTGTCCCTAACTTCATGTGAAGCCAAAGGACTCAGCCTACATGCGGGGCCAAGGGAACCCACCTGCTTTGATAAATTATCAGAGAGACTGATCGATGGCCTACTTCTAACAACACCGATAATATCCCCAACTTGGTAATTATCATCTGCAAAATCCGTCAAGTGTGGGGTTTTATCACAAAAGGCCTCGATGTTAATTACAGTGAGATAATTCTATTTAAATTGCTTTTCTCCTTTTCCTCTATCTGATGTGGGAACACCTTACACTTTCGAAGTTTTTGTATAAAACTTGTGATGTAGTAATTCTAGTTGTGAAATTTTTGTTTGATGCAAGTATTTTGTTTTGTGATATCCCAAACAGAAATGTATCAAGTTTTATGCCAATGTTCACCAAAAGAAAGTTTTATGGCAAATGTTGAAACCCCCAAGGACTGTATACATCCTACCATTGTGGGGCTCTAACCATGTGCAAGACAACATGGGAGGAGTCTCTCTCTATGACCTATTTCTATCTGAATTTTGAAACCAGTTAATGCAGAATCATTATGACAAGATTGGTGATGTTGGACTGTGGTGGACCAAGGACCCACAGCAGTTATTGGGCCCTTGGTGGACCCAGTTTAGGGGAGGGGGAAATTAAAAACCTGTGAGTAAGGTAATTAAGAGCATGTATGTGGATTAACTCAGTTAGTCAGAAAAGTGTGTTTGTTTTTTTGTCTTTAAGTTTGAGTTTTATAAGGTTGACTGATTACAACAATAGCAAAACAAAGCTTGAGTGATTACAATAGCAAAACAAAGCTTGTGGGTAAAGTAATAAAAAAAACAAATATGAGTTAGGTCAGTTGGTCAAAACAATATATCTATTTCTTTTAAATTTGAATTTTACAAGCCAAAGTGATTGGAATATAAAGAATTTGTGGGTTAAGCAGCATAGAGAAAAGATGCGAGTTGTTAATTGGTAGAGCAGTGTGTCAACTTCTTTGCATTTAAGTTCAAATTTTGTAGGTTAAAGTGATTAAAATAGAAAAAAGAACCTTTGTGTGTAAAGTAATAGAGAGCAAATATGGGTTAGGTTAGTTGATAAAAGAGTGTTGGCTTCTTTGTGCATAGTTCGACTCTTAAAGTGGTTAGAATAGCAAATAGAACCATGTGTGTAAACTAATAGAGAGAGCATATGTATGTTTATTCAGTCTATCAAAGCATTATGTTGGGTTCTTTGCAATCTAAGTTCGAGTCCTACAAGCTAGAGTGATAAAAATGGCAAAATGATTTTACACTCCAATTTTTTCTGAATAAATTAATAGAGAACCAGTCCAGTCGACAAATAAAAATATTTCTCGTTAAATATGAAAAAATAATTGAGGGAGATGGAGATTCTCTTCATTTGACTGGAAAATGGATTATTATTTAATTTGAATAATAGATTCCAAAGGAAATAAAGAATAAGCCACATCTTCCTTTTATGCCCAATTATTTTCATATGTTGGGGGTTTTTCTATAGGAGAGGGCTACCTTCTGCATTCTACATTATTTTCTACACAAACTGATCCCAGTTCTGGTTGTTTAGCCACCAAATAATATTTGTTTTTCAATGGGGAAAAAAGGATATTTCCAATTTCTCTGTCATTTTTGCAAGCCCTCCATCTTTAAAAATGTGAAATGCATCTCCTATGGCGAGCTGCAACAGATTTTCTCTTCTGTTTGGTCTCTTCTTTCCAGCTCTTGGCAATGTCCTGTGACACACCAATGGCATCCAATGAGGCTCCAGATAGTCCTCTCCTTGTAAACCCTACTGCATACAGTCCTGCATTCCCTTTCCACCCATTTGGGAATGCATTCTTCGGAATTCCTTCTCTTGAAAAGAATTCATTTTCCTGCACAACATGAAAATATTCCAAACAAATATTTAGTCTTAAGTCGTTCAGTAATTTCATTCCATACATGCAGTTGGTAAACGCGAGAGTAATTCATAATCGGAATTCAATCTTTTATTTTGATTCCGATTATGGATAAGTAAATAAAGTCTCGTTCTTTTTGGCAATTTGGTGGTCAAACGTTCTTGTCACCTACTCTGGAATTTGATTAAAGGGTTGGGATTAAAATGTCAAAAATACGTTCATTTATTCTCCGCCGTAAACATCAAATTCAAAAAATGAGTTACTATTCACTTCTTCATCTGTCTAATGACCAAAGGGACATTTCTGTAAGTTAAAAAATACCATGATTGCATGTGGAAATAACTTCCATAACTGTCACATGGATTGAATTGAAAGTAGAAGCTTCCAAACACATAAATATTGAAATATTCCAAAAATAAATTTAAAATATTCTAACCTTGAGCCATGAAGGAACATTGCTGCGGTACCCTGTTGCCAAAATAACAGAATCAATCTCAAGATTTTGTCCATCAACAAGTTCAACTCTGCCATGAGAGAACCTCTTGATTCCAGGAACCACCTTGACCTCACCAGATCTTATTTTTTTCAAGGCACCAATATCCAAAACTGGAGTCTTCCCTGAATTACCATATTTTTCAAGATTTCCAAAAATTAGCCATGCCAGCATCAGCAATACCTTGTCAGCAAGACAGAGTGGCAGCCATTTCATCAATAAAACTGCTAACTCAAAGGTTGACTTTCCAAAAATTTCCCTTGGCAAGACATGAACCTGTTAAGTGCAGACAAAACTAGAGGAATAAAAAATTCATGCTCACGTTTGACTTGTATTAACAAATAAACAAGAGTACTAAAATTTTATTAAAAAATTGTCATTCATGAGATTTGAACTCTGAGAAAACAAAGTTTGTAGAATTTCTTTACTTACTGAACTTCGAACCACCATCGAAGGGCTTGCATTGTGATTGCAAAGATCAAGAGAGACCTCCATGCCCGAATTCCCACACCCAACAACTAGAACTTGCTTGCCATGGTAAGCCACGCCGGACTTATAGTCACAGGCATGCACGACATTCCCTTTAAACTCTTCCAAGCCTTCAAATTCCGGCACTACTTTCTCCGAATTCTCTCCAGTTGCCACCACGAGCCACCGGCAAATGTACTCAACTTCAGCAGTAGCAGAAGGGTTTGAGTCGCTCGTCGAAATAATCGTCTTGACCCTCCAAAGACCAAAGGTTTCGTCATACTTGGCAGACTGGACAGCCTCATTGAAATTGGGACTTATATCAAAGTGGTTTGCATAGGACTCTAGGTAGCTGATGAACTGGTTTTTGTGGGGTATTCTGGGAAATCCTCAGGGAATGGAAGATTGGGCAGTTGGCAGAATTGCTTTGGGAGGTGTAGTTTGAGGCGATCATATGTGCGTTTTTGCCAAAGAGAAGCAATGCAATCGGCTCTTTCTAGGACAATGAAGGGGACACCTTGTTCTTTAAGTCCAGCACCAACTGCTAGGCCTGAAGGACCTGCCCCTACAATTACAGGACCATTCACCCAAATGCACCTCCTAGAAAAAAACTCAATATCTGTGTCAAATGATTGATGAAACATTTGGGGTATGTGGTGAGAAAAGACAGGTGGTGAAAAGTATTGGTTTCCCAATTGAGTACTTGTTGCACAAAATTAGAAAAGTGGGAGAGAGTTGGAGAGATAGCTGTTTTGGTAATGGGGAGAGAGAGAGAGAGAGAGAGAGAGAGAGAGAGAGAGAGTGGAATGGAAGATGTTTTAGAAGTGATGTGTGAGAGGGGAGAGAGGGATGAAAGGTTTAAATAGAGAGAGAGAGGGTTCTTGGCCTTGAGAACTAATTAAGCATGTGACTGAGATTTGAAAACGATGGTTAGAGCCTTTAAGGGTCATTCATCGAATGATGAGCTGTGGCCGTCTTGTTTTGTGTTGTAAACTGAAATAGAAATGGAACGAAGTTACCCGAAAAATGTAGAAGCCTTGAGTGGTGAATGATTCTTGGGATGTGTCGCAGACTAAGTCGCTCTCTTTAAGACGTTTCGCGGCTCTGCCCAAAGTGTGTAAGCAGTTCACAAACACCATGTCGTCCCCAAGATAAAACAGCCCAGAACCTTCTTCTGATCAGATTCTTCCTTGCACACCGAAAAAACCTTCGAACTCACACCCTTTCAATATGTTGCTTTTAAATCAATATATGTAAAACTTTTTTTTTTCTTGTTTTTCTTCTTCTTCACCTGACCCAAAATTACAAATATATATATGTTGGTGTGTATCCTGGTATCCGTTGAGATGGCGATTTTTATGAATCAAATTGCATGTGTGTACGTATGTACATATTATAATAATAATAAATATGTTGAAATTGCAAATTGTAGAAATCAATGCAATTGAAAGGCAAAACGCCAGGAATCAAAGCGGACAGAAAATCACAACGGGACAAAACGTAGTCAATTCAAACTGAAAAATAAAACAAAACAGTTTGAAAATTAACATTGGTAATAAAGGAAAATATTATGTATATAATATTGGTAATAAAACAAAGTATAAATATATTTGCTCCAACAATCACCCACTTGTTTTTATTTAAAAACTATATATCAAGCAACATATCATAAAGCTATGCATAAGTAAAGGTGTTTCTCAACTTGAACATGTACATAGTGTTAGCGATCCAGATTATACTAGAGTAACTTATAGTTTTGAACTCTATCTCTGACAACACTTTATTAAGGTGAAGTTCAAAAAAGCCAGCACATTACGGCCATGTGCTTGTATCCCAATATAGTGAACGCTCTAGAAACTTGCCCAAGATTTCATAGGAAGCGGTCTCACTTCCACATTCACATAGGTAAGACTACCAAGGATATTCCTGTAGCTAGATATCCCACTCAACATAGAGTATAGACCTTACTAAGAGAAAAAATCTCAACCTAAAACCGCTTCAGGATGCCATGCTTCTTAGGGATGGACATGGAATAATATTCCAAATTAAAATTAGCATGACTTCACTCATATCACTTGTGACTTGTTATTACCCTTTGAACCTATTTCTTGGGATCTCGAGTCTATAGGTTGGGTTGCTATCACAAATGACTCAATTTTCTACGGGCTTTGGTCCCATCCCTTTCGAGGTTTTCCAAACCTTTTCTCATGTTAGTCCTTCCATCAAAGGATTTTTCCAAACTTTTTCTCATGTTAGTCCTTTCGTCAAAAGATCAACTAAATTTTCTTCAGACCGTATATGACTGGAATCGTTTTCTCCCATAAAAGGGTATCTGACAGTAGGTTTCTCAACCATCCTGCTTCTTCTCCCATAAAGGGGTATCTGACAGTAGGTTCATAAATTTTAGAAGAATTAGAACCCCTACTATTTCGAAGATTAAAAAAATCAACCGATTACAAAAATCACAAGGCACATTTTCATAATCGATATCAAATTAAAGAACATGAAAAATCAGTGATTAAAAATGAAATAAACTCTCTTTAAAAACACTCAGCAATAAAACTAGGAAAATGATAAACACACACCTTTTATAGCTTTATACACACCCCTGGCTAATCATGTCCGTTGTTTTCGTTTGATTTATTCAATCCGATGGCCTGGAACAAAGAGGGGTGTGGGAAAAGCTATAAAAGGTGTGTGAAAATCAGCTCCCTAAAACTACTGATTTTTCTGAAATGAAAGTAGCTCTCTGTGCACTTGGGGATGCTAACATACTTTTGAGCTCCAATGATATTTCATGCAGCGATAGAAAGTATAATACAAATATCAATGCATACGGCAGCAAAAACCAAAAACCCAAAAGCATGTTAATTTGAATACATGCAGCAGCAGCCAAAACCAAAGCCTATTCTAACGCATGCAACGCATGAGAGAAACATAGATTATGATACGATAATGACTTGTAAAAAACCTAACGCATGCAGCAACACTCTTAAACAAACAATGAAGAAAATATGATTTTCTTTTCTTCCTAATGAATGGCAAATTGAATATGTTTTAAAATTGTTGTAAATTGAAATAGAAATTGAACGAAGTTACCCGAAAAATGTAAAAGCCTTGAGTGGTGAATGATTCTTGGGATGAGTCGCGGATTAAGTCGCTCTCTTTAAGACGTTTCGCGGCTCTACCCAAAATGTGCAAGCAGTTCACAAACACCACGTCGTCCTCAGGATAAAACAGCTCAGAACCTTCTTCTGATAAGATTCTTCCTTGCACACCGGAAGAACCTTCGAACTCACACCCTTTCAATATGTTGCTTTTAAATCAATATATGTAAAACTTTTTTTTTCTTGTTTTTCTTCTTCTTCACCTGACCCAAAATTACAAAATATATATATATATATATATATATATATATATGTTGTTGTGTATCCTGCTATCCGTTGAGATGGCGATTTTTATGAATCATAATTGCATGTGTGTACGTATGTATATATTATAATAATAAAAATATGTTGAAAGCCAAAACGCCAGGAATCAAAACGGACAGAAAATCACAACGGGACAAAATGTAGTCAATTCAAACTGAAAACAAAACAAAACAGTTTGAAAATTAACATTGGTAATAAAGGAAAATATTATGTATATAATATTGGTAATAAAACAAAGTATAAATATATTTAAATATTTAAATAAAAACATATTTGCTCCAACATTTGTTTGTTAAATTAATTAATTCAGTTAGAGTTTAGAAACTATGTACAATTCAATCATATGCTTATGTATATTCTATGTTCAAATTTGTGAGAATGTGAAGAAATGTCTCACATCAGAAGTTTATCAAATTTTTTTATACGCTTGTGAGTAGCTAGACTATTTCTCATATTCTCAATTAATTTTATGTTAGAACTTCAATTGCCTTGAAACCTTTTGTGAAATGGATGTTTCTTCATCTATTCTTTTCTTTTTCTTTTGGACAAGCCATATTGAAGGAGGGCGAATGAAAAATTTCTGATGTAGAGAATGAAAATCACAATTAACTGAGATACAAGTCTCTTTTTTTCATCTTCAAACAGTAGGAGTAGACAAGCCAAGCCACCCACTTGTGGAGTGTGGTTACCAGGAATTAACCATGCTCTATAGATACTCACAAATATATGTGATGGAGCACTTGTGGCCTCCTTTTCCAGGGTTTGGTTCCAATAAGATAAGGCGGCCCTATAAACTTAGGCCACAACCGATTTCGTGACTTCTTTGGTTTTAACTTCCTCTCCGAGCAGTCAAAACTGTTTTGTCCAATCAGAACTGAGTAATGTAACTCAAGAACCAACGCTAACTGATAAAAAAAAATAAAATAAAATAAAAAAAAAAAAAAAAAAAAAAAGAACCAACACTAATTGATCTGCACATGTTTAAATTTAACCCAATGCCTTTTCTTTTCTCTGCCCTTCCTTTCTTTTCTCTCGCCCCAACGACAAACAGAACAGTCTTCTCCTTTAGACGCCGGCTCTAATTCCGGTTAAGTTCGGTGGAAGTTTGACATTTCAATTTTTTACTTCACCCAATATGTTAAGTAATAATGTATTTATTTTTCATCTCTTTGTGAGTTTCAATTATTGAGACAATCAATCAAATACTTAGAACATACACATTTATTATATATTGCATCTCATCTATTAAAAAATTATTAAAGGAATTTGACAGCGCCACATAAGAAAATGAAGGCTCGGTTGGAGAGTTTGCTACTTTTTTTTACTGCTATATGTATCTGTGACAGTTTTGACATTTCATTCTGAGATGCTGTAACATGTCAAATTGAGAATAGATTCCCAATAACCTATAGTAAGATTCCTCAAGCTGTTTGAGCTTATATTGACGTGATTAACATCAAAATAAGTTGTTTTCTATTAATATATAAATGGAGGTTATTTTATCTATCTTACACACCATATGTGACATTTTGATATGAGGCTTATATTCCGCAAGCACTTTTTATTATTGCTGCACAATAGAATTACTCACGATACTTCGTGGTTTATCTGAGTAGGGTCAATATTGCATTCTCTTGTGGATTATTTTATCTGACAAGAGAGAGGAGTGGCAACAGAGTAAGGAGAGAGAGATGTGTGTGGGGAGCCTAAAATAATCCCAAAAATTCTAGAGGCAACACGTGGATTTTTGCCCAAGAAAGACAAGATTGCCCTCAATAAATGGGTAGGTTCCTCATATACTTTCATGCGCAGCTCACATCCCTGAAGGTCCCAGCAACTGAATACGACCGCTCACAACTGACCTACCCTTGGCAAGAAAAAGTCAAAACATTAAAGATAATAATTAATTACCGAAATCCTATCTTTAATACATTCTCAATTGAAGATTGACTCCATTCAAGTAAGTAATTCCTATTTAATTCAATTAGGGATAATTACTTGATTATCTCAAGATATTATTTCATGTTTAATATCTTTAGAATATTTCTCCATAAATCTTGGTCAATAGGATGCCACCATGTATAAGGTATATATATATATATATATATATATATATATATATATATATATATATCCCTTATTCTACCAAATTTCAGTAAGTTTTTGCTACCCTAGAAAGCCCTAAACATTTTACTCTTCTCAGATAAACTAAC